AATCCAACCAAAGTGTTAAAGCATTCAGGTTTGAGACAAAGTGTACTGAAAATTATCATTCATTCGTCAAATTTTATTTATAATTTAGAAATCCGTAAAAATGTAAATATGGGAACAATTTGTATGGTATCTGATAAATGCGGTGATAATGAGAGTCAATGGCTTAACAAACAATTCGCAATTAAAAGATCTGCGACCGAAATAACAGAACAAACAAAAAAATTAAAAACAGAACTCAATTGACATCTGATATAATTTATTTCGTTTTTTGTCGAAATATTAGCCAACAATTCAATAAATAACTGATGAATTATAATGTGCTGTAAAATGATTTCAAAACAATTCATTTGTCGTCTTCTTGTTTGTGACGTCGAGAAGAATTACTTCTCTTTTCTGTGGTCTGAAAAATACATACATTTATTAAAATAAAAGAAAATTGTAAAACAGATTCGATGACAAAGAACTCACTTTACTTCTGGACTCTCTGTCCTCGCGTTTTGTTTTGCTTCCGTCTTCTTCTTTACGTCGTTTAGGAGTTGTGTTGGAGTCCGAGACCTCATTATTGGGCGATTCTTTGAGCTGTTGCTGTCGTTTCCGAGCACTCGATGACTGTTTCTTTTCATGAGATCTAACTGTATTGACGTTTGGAATGCCGTTATTATTCACCTCTTCTTTCACTTTCTTATCGCTATTCTCTTCGTGTGTCTGAAACCATAAGAACCAAAATTAAACACTATTTTAAAATATCAAACAAATTATAATTACTTTATTTGAATCACTTTTTCGTTTCTTATGTTCTCGTTCTAAATGTATATAAAATAATTGGCAATTAGTTTGAATTGGTATCTCTTGATTGATGACAATTTGGCAAACCTTTGTCCGACTCATTGATATCGTCTTTATTTCTGTGTTCATTAGTTCTTCGCGGAGATAATGAGGAGACGGATGAAGAGCGCGACTCATTTCGGTTATTCTTTTCTATACTGTTATTCATTTTCTCTTCACTTGAGTTGATTTTCCTCAACTTTGTCTCACTTTTTGAATCCTTCTTAATCTCCTTTTTCTTGTCGCTCGAGTCGATGCCGTTCTT